AGAATAGTCACTTTATGGTCCATTTCAAAAAAACCCAAAATTATCTGAAATTTCCAGCTGGAAAAGTTTAAACCAACGGAAGATTCTCAATACTTCTCTAAACGGAATATTTCACATCAAAAACCTGTTTTTGCTCAACTGTGCAGTATTGTCTGTTTAACATAACACTGGAACAAAGTAAGGTGTTTTTTTTAAAAGAAAGACAAAACACCCCTCTCCAATGGGGATCAAAATGCAATAATCAGGTACAAAGTGAGGATGATTACCAGGTAACGAGCTGTTTCCTCTCTGTCGAGTGGCTGTGTTACATACAGATTGCCCGTCTCTCTGTCCATTGTGAAACGACCAGCAGGAGGCAGATCAGCTCCAGGACCAGTGATGCTGTAAAAGATCTTCCTTGTTTTGTCTTCATTAGAGCGGATCTGAACAAAAATACAACTGAACTGAGTCAAACCACTGACTCCAACAAAAGTTAGCGTTGAACAACAGCTACAGCAAAGAGATGCCTGAGGTAGAAGACAGGTTCCAATTTTCTACATGCTGTTATTGGGATTGTAAGAAAAACAAGACAGCCCCCATAATCTTATAATTACAGTTCTGTATTTGGTTAAAATTTCCGATTGTTCAAATATATTATTTTCTTTAGTTGTTGTAAGATAATGTGTGCCCCAGTCTCAAATGAGGAGAATTATTCCTCTGTTACACCACAAGAGGGACCATCTCCTGAAATGAGCAGCTCTGGCTGCCAGGCCACTCACCATGAGGCAGTGTGCCTAACAAACGCTGTGTGAGACTGTGTACAAACCTGTAACTATGTGCATATAGTTGCAGAATATACAGTAAAGGCAGACGCACAAAACTAAACTGGTTTCTATTTCTTTTAATCTAAGTGTGCAACAGGATCATTCAATAAGGCATCTTGTGATCTCTGAATAAGGAATTATTTTGATATCCAATCTTATTACTGAGTTTTGTTGTGGCACACGTGGGACAGTTTTCTCTCTCGCTGATCATTAACTAATAATCAATGAAATCTGAATGCTGCTTATTTTAACAACCAAACCTGACTGATGTATTACTGGAGACATGAGTAACTGCAGGTTAGTGGTTCTTTTTTTTTTTGTCAAAGTCTGTTCTCTGTTGTTGTTGTTGTTGTTGTTGTTGTTTTGATATAATTTTGTTTTACATTTATATGGATGAATCTGAGACTGAATGG